TGAAGGCAAAATCTCCAATCATGTTTTGTTTGTACAATGTCATGAGAAATATCGAATATCGAGTAAATATTTTTGTCGTAATATTGCAAGCATGGAAGTTTGATGATCGCTGTACATCTATCGACTTCACGCTTGTATACAAAATACAAGATGGTAGTGGTGGTAGTATACACACAGCAGGCAGGATATAAATATCTCGGCCAGGCAATCTGTGAGAGCAGCACCACACAGCTTTTCAGCACGTTGCTCCCGTAACGCATAAACGTCGATATAATTTATTCAACCTGTCGTTAGCGACTCCCCAACGACTCACATCCTTCCCTTATCAGTGACCCGAATAAAATATTCGCTCTCTCTCTTTCTATCGTTTCTTCTGGCTAAGCTTTTGCGCTTTAATTAACCATACGTGGTTAATAATCCGCCCACCTTCGATGGAAATTATTTTTGCGCTGATTAAAAATTTTATTTTGTAGGAAGAAAATATATAACAGCATATATATATATATATGAATAAATAAATCTAAAATTTGACATCTGTGTACTATAATTATAAAATTGTTGTTTAATTAAATCCCCGATATTAAAATAAATCTGTATAATAAATTTGCACGTTTTGTTTTTATTATTAAAGAAACAATGACAATTATGCGAACAATTCGCATTTTACCAAAAAAAAAAAAAAAAAAAAAATTGCGGCTTTAATATAATCTTGAGAGGCGAGGAATGACATTTCGCAACGAAGATGGAATTCTACCAGATGCACGTATCTGCGATTGTGAAATCGTTGCACGTTGCGACATTAGCATAAACTCTTTGTTGTCAACGATAATGTCTAGTCAGATTGCACCGTTCAATCGCTTCGATATCGTCTCGATTCTAACACGTCTCGGTATGCACTTCTTTCCTGTGAAGCACACTAAACGGTTAGAATGTCGACGCAGAAATCTCCTGCAGACCATTTCACGCCATGCAATATTTTACAATGCGACGAAATAAATAACATTTTATATGATAAAAAGTAGTAAAAATGGATTTAATATTCAATTTTGTTTATATTAATTTTTATGTAATTTACATTTGTTTCAATAATTCGACAGAATTATTTTAAATATCAAATATCGTTTATTGTTTCCAATATAATTTTTTAAAAAGAGAGAGAGAAAGTTAATTTCCTAAATTATTTATAATTTAATAAATAAATCTCCTATGTGTACATGAAAAACATGAAGAAAGCACAGATAATATAATCTCAAGAAGAAATTTTTATTAGAGTCACGAAATTGCATCGATTTGTGCGTAGGGGGTAGTGACCTTGTCTTTCTTGCATACGTTTTATGCGTGACCATATGGTCGACATGTGCATTCTCTGCTCGCACAGTCGCACGTGCGCACCAGAATGCAACCGCGAACAAGCGTGAATAATCGATGGAAACAGCACAGAATTTTAGTCATTGTCATTCGTCGTTTACCGCCGTCCTGCAAATTTAAAAGAGATTTAACAATTCGAGCCATATTATTATTAAACATTGAAAAAACTTCTGCTTCGAATGCCGACGCCTTCGATATATCGCGAATGTATGATACTTGCATCAAGTTGTACGTTGGATTATCCGGACCGAGAAATTATTGTTCTTTCGTATATATATGGATTTTTGAAAAATATGAATCCTTGGAAAATTAAGATTTTTTATATAGGATTTTATCGATTTTTCTAAAGCGCATATATCACTTTAAAAAATTAAATAAATTCTAGATACACGTATATAAAATTAAATTAAAAATAAGATTCTCACGCGCGATTGTAATCTTATTAAATTATTCTTTATATAAAAATCTCGAGCTGAAATCAATTTGTTTATCGAAGCACGAGTGTCATCGGTACTTTGCACCATCGTTAGCGTCGCTACCGATGTGTGAGTCCGACGTAATCGACTACAATCTGAAATAAATGCAACGCCCGAATGATCGACAAACACGTTCCGAGGAGCAAAGAGAGTAAGTCTTTCCGGTTTCTACTTACCAAGGTGGTGGTAGTAGGCGAACACTGCAGCATAGTAGTGACCTTTCAGCCTTAGGATATTGCTTACCTTATGCAAGCCTGCTGCAGCGTGTCTGCGGTTTCATTCACAAAGAATATACTCCAAGCTCGCTGCACACGAATCCTGTTAACACAAATGTTTAAAATTAGCAGCGTATCGATGCTTGTCTTCGAATATCACACAGCATTGACTTACATTTGTAAAAAGTAGGAAACATTTAAAGACATATATTATATATACCAATATATCTTTTCGGATATTATTAGCGAAATAAAATATTGATTCTAAAGATATACATATAATCAGTATTGATATACAACACTATCAAAATAAATTTGAAGTAATATAATTTATATTAATATGAATTAATATGAAATTTATATTATTTATATTAATATGAAAATAATATATAAATTAAATTAATATATATGTCTGGCAAAGAAACAATTGCAGCTTTTTAATTACGCGTTGGAGAAAATATAAATATGATACTTGCTAATTATAATTGCAAGTTGCTATAGCAGTTATAGAGACTGTTTCTCGCGAATTTCTATATTAAATAATTCGAATATAATAATAATTATTATCTTTCTCATGAAATATTATCTCGATATTTTACATGATATTTCGCAACATTTGCACATTTGTTATGCAATTTTATTCCCGACGCTCTCGATATTCAACGATCGTGAAATGAATCGTCCATTGCTCGCTGATTGGTTCAATGACTAAATGACTGTTCGATATTTTGCGTCGTAGTTTAATAAAATATACTGACGGCATATATGTCCAAAGGATTCTAGTAGCTATGGTGATTCACACGGTAACCACACTGTAACAACTGATTTATCCGATAAGATTTGCTCATCGTTTGTTGCGAGATGGATAATATAATAATATTATTTTTTATATTGGCGATTATATAAATAAATTTTGCAAATTATAAAAAATTTTATAAGCGACAAATATCACACATGAATTATTATTCCATATGATGGTATTTTAAAATGACGCGGTGATTTTTATATAAGCGATTATTATTGAAATGAAAGCTTTATTATAATGATTTTAATAATATATTTATTTAATATAACAGAGGATAATTAAAAATAATGCCAAAAAATGTAAAAAAAGAATATTCAATTCAAACGGTATATAATTTCAAAAATAATAGAAAAGAATTTAACGGGAAGCAATAATGAGATGCGGAATAGGTATTTTCAGGCACAATATCTTCGACAGATATTATTAGCCATGTCAGAGGCTTTTCATGATTGTCTTCGCAGGTGCAATATCCCATAGAGCAGCTCCATTTGCACGCTTCGCAGCGGCTAATTGCTAATTAGGATACACAATAGCGTTACGCACGTCGCCGACTTCGTTGTCGTCGCCGTCAGAGTCGTTATGTTCGGTCACGGTCATATCATTGACCCTGGATAACTCAAACGACGTTTGTTGACAATCTATTGACGCTATTGACGTATTTGTTCGCCGCATTGTTTAATTAACCTGAAAGCAAAGCCTCTTTTTTCTTTTTTTTTTTTTTTTT